GTACCACTGTCACTATATATTAAGAAGTGAAGGCCGGGTGTGGTGGCTCACGCCTGTAATCTCAGCACTTTGGAAGGCCGAGGCGGGCGGATCACCGGAGGTCAGGAGTTCGAGACCAGCCTGGCCAACGTGGTAAAACCCCGTCTCTACTAAAAATACAAAACTAGCTGGGCGTGGTGGCGAGCGCCTGTAATCCCAGCTATTCGGGAGGCTGAGGCAGGAGAATCGCTTGAACCCGGGAAGCGGAGGTTGCAGTGAGCCGAGATTGTGCCATTGCACTCCAGCCTGGGAGACAAAAGGGAAACTCCGTCTCAAAAATAAAAAATAAAATACAATAAAAAATAAAACAAGTGAATGCAGTAGTTGGCAACATTTTCGATTTTGCCGGTCATGAGGTCTCTGTCACAACAACTCAATGCTGCCTTTACAGTCATAGACAATATATAATCGGAGGGTATGACTGAACTTGACCCCCCAGTCTGTAAATAGCCATGACCCCCCAATCTGTAAATAGCCACTTCAAGGATGAGAAGAGTAGATATATGGTTTCGAACTAATGCTGGGGGCTGTGTCGCCTTTTGCCCCAGTAACCAAGGTTCGAACCTCAACCCAGAACCCAGGGCTCCAAAGTCTTGAAAGCTTCAGCCCTCACAAGCCTTTGTACCACAGACAAAGAGGCCTCATGCCTCTTACTCATCCGAACCACAGACCAGACACTCTCCAGTGAAGGACATCCTCCCCAACTCCAACATCACTGAGTCCCAAATTAAATCCTGAACCCGAAGCAGACGCCGCATCGATCCTAAGCGCCACCTCCATCCTTTACAAGCAGAGTGATTCATAACTTGACAGTTAGGACACGGTCGTTGATCACCACAGACCCTTAGTCATTGTATTCACACCAAAGGGACGCGGCCCACAGACAGGGGGATCACAGACTCCCACCAGGTATCTCCCAAATGCCTGCACCCCGGCGCTCCCCGGTCTTCCTGCGAAACACTACGTGGTCCAGGATACAACACGTCCTCAGACCTCCCAAACCTTCCACTGAGACAAAACCTGAACTGGGACAAAAAACTTTCAGAGGCAAAACCACACACTGACCTCTATTTTCTCCAGATCCACAAGAAGGGCCTCAACGTTACACTTCCGTAAACTGCTTCTACTTCTGGAGTCCTCGCACAGGTTTATGGTCCACCTACGGCGGCCGAGGAGAACCTAAAATGTTAAAAGAGCAAGGACAACCGCATTTACGGCGTTTCCTAGGCTGTAATATGGCCGCGCCCACAGCTGTGGCTCCATGACGGCAGCCATGTTTGAAAATCAGACGTACAGAGGCAATGGCAGGTTTTTGAGCCAGCAGCCAGGGAAGATGAGAAGTCACTGAAATCGCCTCGTTTCCTGGCACTTAAAGTCTTGCGAAAAGGGGCAGATTTTCAGAGACTCAAGCTTTATCAGGCAAATATGGGGCAAGCTAAATTTCCTTTAGCGCTTTGCCATCCACTTTGTTAAA